TGGTGCACCCTGGGCAACGTATACTTATACGCCAAAAAAGTCTATCAAACCGACAGTTGACTTCTCACTTCAAACTATTATGGCCCGACTATTTGTCATATTCGACCCCTTCCACAGTACTTATCTTACCTTTTTTATGTCTTTGTGTCTGTCTGTCTCTGTCACATCTGTGAATCATTATTCTGTCTCCCATCTCGACTTTTTGTCATTTTAATGTTCCTCCTCCTCCTCTCTGTGAAGCCCCGAAGTCAGCTCCAGGGCTAATGAAAACTATCAAAACGCCTGCCATTTGATATAAATAAATAAATTATGTCATATTAGATAATTCTGTGACAGTCTCATTAGTTATTAGCAATTATAATCCAGGGAATAGGTAACCAATTCAAAGAAAATGTACTGTCTTATTTCAAACGCATACATCACCCCCCAAATTCCCAACGATAACTCAAATCAATAAGCTTTATTTAAATTGAAAACAACAAATCAGACTTTTATCGAAACAGAGAAAAGGCGAAAACAGAGTTAAGTGTGTTCTCCTAAATCTCTTATCGCATATCATAAGAGAGCTTCATAGGAGAAAGGAGGAATTGACAAAAAAAACAAGAAAGAAACAACAACGCCAGTCTACGTTCATTTACAGCTAAACAAACAAACAAACACACACACACAGAAGTGAGCGGTTAAATGCACAAACATTTCCGAGTTTAAGTGTGTACAAATAAAGAGGAAAGGAAGAGGGTTTCTTAAGTTAAGGTGTAAAATCACATTAAGAGAGTGAGAAGGGAGCTCGTCCTTTAGCAAGTCGAAAATTGTCTGTCTGTCTGTCTGTTGTTAGAGAGCAGGAAATGGTTTAATCACACGGTGAAGTAATATGCGAAAAATAAGCGGAAACTTCCTAAAATTGGAAAGGCGTCTGCGTCACATACACACACACACACACACGCACACTCCATTCAGTTTCAATTTAGTAATTTTCAAAGACGACCACTTACAAATGCGAGAAAGGAGAAAGGAAGCAAGGAGCGAGCAGATATAAGCGTGCAGGTAGTAGTGGTTGAGGTATTAGCGAGCCATTTCAAAGAAGCGCATTCGATCTTTGAAGGAAGGCAGAGTTTCAATCGGTGGAGATAGTTGCTTGGGTGATTTCACGTTTGGTACAGTCGCCTGTTTACCGAAAGTTAAAAAAGCCATTTAGTAAACGAAAAGCATCGAGACTTTGACATCACAGCAGAGGCATGCTAAATGTGCGAGAAATGGGAAATAAATAAGATAAATGAGAATGCTGGATGTCCAATCACCAAATTGAATTTCAACAGTTTTCCATCAAGGGAAGTGCATATTAGGGGAAGTTGTCTGAACTAACAGTAAAAACGAAAAAAATGAACAACAGTCAATGGTAAACAGTAACCAGGCAAAACCATGAAAGTGTACTCAACTCGAACAAACAGAGAGCACAACTACGAACCAATAGGCTGAGTTCTACCTGGCTCGGTTCTTTAGTTTCAGAAATAAGTGGTCCACAAAGTCCCGGGCTCATTTGAGGTTCAATTAACTGACCAACTACTGGAATCGCTGATACGGTTTTTACTTTACCACGCGACGACTTCGTTTTCAGATCCTGACTAGCGCGTTTCCAGCTATATTCATCCACATTGCATGGTCCCAAAGGCTTTTCAGAGGGGGTCGATTGCCTATCACTGATTTTACCACTTTCCGTATTCGCAAGAACCGGAAATCTTGGCAATCTCAAATTCACACCTTCAGCACGATCTCTATCCGCTTGCCAGCATCTCATACGTTCTCTAACCAATCTGGATATAACTTTCTTTGGCCGAGACAGAACTCGAACGTCTATGGACTTGAAATCAAAGAGTTCAGGGTAGGCGTCACTCAGATTCGATGTGACCTTAGCTGAAGGTTGTCCAGTAGAATTACTTGACGGGGGTGGAGTGCAAACAGATTCAGTAGCTTGAGGTGTTTTGAAATGGCGACTGTGGGGTATGCATTTTCGAATCACAAGAGTACGGACGCACTCTCCAGGGGATTTTTCAACCATGGGGTGAACATTTTCAATGCGGCCAAGATAAGATGTCTTAATGGCAAAGCCAAAAGAGAAAGCAAAATCATAATTTGACATGCATAGGGGGGGGGGGAATCATGCTACGGACAAGACAAAGCACAAGCCCGCTTTCAAACTCCATGCAATGGGGCGAAAAGTGGATCAAAAACTTACGAAGGTGGGGGGTGATATTTTGATAGTGTAAGAGTGGTTAGTGGTGCGCGAGAAAGTGCCAAGTGATTTTATGTATCAGTATGAAAGACGTGGAGATACGTACGAAGTGCCTCTCTCTCTATCTATCATTACCATTAATCCTGTAGATAAATTCAATAAAACGCGAGCTATAATAATCATTAGAAAACGGAATACATAGCTTAAGCAAGCTTAATCCCTTTTAAAGCCCCAATAGATGGAGTCTAATACATCTTAAAATCTCGCTCTCCAAGATCCGAGTCCACTAGATAGGAATTTGTGCAGAGCGATGCTTTTTGTCAAATTGAATTGGACTACCTAACCACGATGTTTGCACACGGCAAGTATTACAACTATTTCCATAATTAGGAAGTCTTATTATGCAAAATTTTTACCGTTTTTTCCTAGCTATTTAACTCCCTAATATTGAACCTTACTATTACAATTATGCACAGCATATTTCCACTCTTCTGCCTATGTCATTCGCGGTTAAGATCACAAAATTTAGTACATTTGCAAGCTTCCTCTATTCTACGATAGCAACCCCTACGAGGTAGCTTTGGCAGAAAATGTGGGAAACATTCAGCTGTTCAAAACTACCATTAAGTCGGAAATTCTAAGCTCAAGCTTAGTTAGTTAGAGTGGAAGGAGAGGTTGAAAGGCATGTGCCTACCTTGATAGATTTAGCTTGGTCTGACTCACTGCCATTGCAATCGATAATTTGGCAAGAAATATTGCTAAAAGTTGCCTGTCTGTGAGATGAGACCTTTTCGATTAAACTCGAGGGGTCAATTCCATCGCAAATGGTTAAGAGCAGTTTCCCTTCCTGCGGTTGGACAACCTACAAAGGGATAATTAGAGAGAAGTTATCATAAGAAAATGAAAATTTCCTTCCCCTCGAGATCAAACTATGACAATATAAGACCAAAACAATAGAAATTATGATCAGATGAATGTGGTGTGAATGACAAACCGCTGTAATTACTTATGGTCTTCAGTAAGATGGCTCCAGGATACTTTTTTTCTTACCCACTTTAAGAATTCTCATCACTTTTAACCTTTTCGGGACAATTCAGAAACTAGACAACAAAATTAGGGCAATTACCTCAATAATTTCCTGAGGTTCCAAACTCATCAACCATTCAGAATTGGCCACCAGGATTTGGTCGCCGGGTTTCAGTTTTCCATCACGAGCAATAGAACTGCTGGGTGCAATCTGGTGCACAAATATACCCTCCTTTCCATCCTCGGCTTCTTGGTCGGTTTTGTCCGATGTAGTTGGCATTATTGGCGATGGAAGCATGGAGCGTCGACTCATAAGACTCAAACCAAGGGGCTCATCTTCAGGGCAGGAAATGATAAGCTCCTAAAGAAGAGATAAAACATGGGTAAATGAAGTAACGAGCAACTATGAAAAGTTGGCCTTAGGAGGCAAACACCAGCTAAAAGTAGGTTCTGAAGACACACAGCGGGTTTAAATATGTCGTCACCAATTAAAACTTAGGAGTCGGTTAACTAAAAAATTACTCTGACAAGGGGCGAAATTCTATTCAGAGTCTCTAATACCAGAGAGAAGTTAAAAATGCACTACGAAATTATTACCAGTGGTATAATCACATAACACGTGAGCCATGGCTACTAGTCATTGTCGTTATATCCCCTGTGAACACTTTGGTTCTCGTAACCATATAAACAAAACTGATTACTTTGAAGATATTTCGTTTAATGATAACGGTAAATATTTGGCAAAGGTATTTACGCGTCTGCCATGGTCCCACCAACTTCGGGGAGTCAGAGACTGGTTAGTAGACAATAATTTTTTGTATTCTACTAATTAAACAACACTTTATCAGTCAAAGTGTATGGTTGTAATTTCGACATCTATTACTTACACTAATTATGAACACGAACAAAACATTGTGGCATGGCTATACAAGGGAACTTGATTATATGTTTCATCGTTTACGCAAACAGCACGACGAAATAATAACGTGATCTAAATCAAACTTTTAATTGCCCAGTAATGTAGTGTTATGTAGTACCTACCTTGTCACAATGAGTTATTTAATTCACATTCTATATATTAGTTCATAATAGGTACAAGTTTCATTGCAGCACTCTGTGAGTTTGAGATCATTGAAAAAAACATGAATATATGTTCTAAATTCATTCTCTACTTTCACTTCAACGATCATGCTTCCAATGTAGACAATAGTGGAACAGCATACAATTAGCTACATCATTGAGCGATATCAAGAAATATCAAATTAAAGAAAGACTTGGAAGACTTACACGAAGGCCAGGAGGCAAGGGATCACGTCGAACTTCAAGTAGTAGGGACTCCTCACTGAGACCGGAGGGCATGAGAGCGGAGACAGCTTCGTCGTGATTCACTCGACGCAAATCACGACCATTCACGCTCAGTAGACGATCACCAACGCGAAGACCTGCTTCCTGGGCCTCACCACCTTCTTGAACCTGAAAGGTGAAAGGATATTGTTGAAATAACATGCAAAAGCAGATATTCTGACGATCTAGATAAAAATGAACTGAACAGAGACATCTTATCTTGTTATACTCTGGTAAGAACCAACATTTTTTTATTAAATTTAAATTGTTTAGCTAGGAATTAGTGTGAAATAAATAAATGGCTACCCTGTAGACTAAGTGTCGAGCAATAGATTTGACTTCGCTGCCCCGAAACTACTCGATTTGAAGTACTAAAAAGTACTTACCCTCGAGCCTACTTAGTTTAGGGGTTGTATGATTCACTCCGCGACAAACCGATGAATTCAATCAGCCATAAATAGTTTCTTGAAAGCAACAGCGAAAAACAAGAAGACAACTTCCAATAAAACTACACAACATTCAAGTCACATTGATTTACTACACACAGAAAGTAGTCAGTCATTTTGCTTAGTCTAGTATCCGAAAGCCAAAATATAAAATATTTGACAAACATCAAAAACTCAACACGATATAAAACCCGTGATCTGGAACTAACGTCCTCTCTAAGATGTTTCATGCCACTTTGTACGTAGTTCGATATAAACTAAGTCTACAGTTACTTCGACAAATCTGGGATGTATAACAAATGATACGAAACCGTGTGTGATAGACCTGATGTTATGAAGGCAGTGAAACGGATAACTCACTCGGCAGATAAAGATACCGGGAGTCTCGCCACCGAAAGGTAGAGATGAGGAATCACAGCCACCACAGATGCGCAGTCCAAGATTTTTACCCGGTCGGTGCTTCAAGTTCACTCGGTAGACATCGAGACCGGCTTCTTTGCGTAGAAACTGGGGCCCATCGGAAGTAAGTGAAGGAGAGTGTGTCAGATTACGGCCGGTCTCGTTTGATTCTGCAAAAAGAGTATAACATGAAGAAGTTAGAAATAGTTTCGCCTATTACCTTTAGTTCCATGGAAATAGAGGTCAATATGCACATCTGGCTAGTCATAGACCAAGGGTTCGATATTACTGGACACATGGAGTGATCAGAATGATCAAAAGAATTTGATATCAGCCACAGAGGATTCTTAGTGGATAGCTAAGCTACACTAACTAATTGCAATCAACAAGAAGGGTGGTGGAATGTGAATTTCTCACAACTCTTTTTTCCGGGAAATCGAAAAATTCACACGTCAGCCTAATGAGAATATATCTTGGCAACACAACCTTTTGGCAATATTGCACAAAGAGTATCAAAAAAAAACAATTCGATGAAGTGTTGAGAGAAAATATCACAATCCCATCAGGGAAAAGGAAATTTAATTGGTAACCACAGAATTTAAAAGCAATTAAAGAC